AAATCCAGCACCTAGCCATAGCACTCAGTTTCATGTTCACAGTTTGGCCTCACAGTTCACAGTTCATAGCATTTCATAATTCATAGCATTCATAGTCTCCTGTTGTGTAATTTCACTAGACACTTGTAAATAAAGCACTGTGTTCACGCCCGTTTGCCTCCCTCTGTGTCTGCATTTGAGTCCACACCCACAGCCGGGCCCTCTCGGCCGTAACAGTAAGATCTGGCCACGATATGGACTCAGCAGACGCAGAGCGGACAGCCATTCAGAAACAAGGTGCAATCCTAGGTTACCACGAGCAATCCATTCAATATCTCCTGGCTTCACAGAAAGACCTTGGTGAGGGACAGGCTAAGATCTTTGCTGCCCTAGAGACACTACAAGCTAACCTCGCTTCCGTGCCGCGTTCTGCCCCCGAACCCGCGGCCCCCGCACAAGACACACAGCCATCCGCTTCGTCCCCTGCCTCGGCTTACGCGCTCCAAAGTGGGCCAATTTTTCGCGACGCATCATCCCCGGAGCCCGAACCTTTTTCTGGGGATCCGGGGAGCTGCACGGGATTCCTACTTCAGTGCGATCTGGTATTTGGCCGCTCACCGCGCACCTTCATTGACAACGCCGCTCGGATTTCCTATTTCATAGGGAAATTACGGGACCGTGCTCTAAAATGGGCAGAAGCATACCTGTCAAGCCATCCCCTGCGAACTTGCTCTTATGATGACTTCCTGGGTGAGTTTAAAAAGACATTCACTCATCCTGTCTCTGAGGGCAGTTCGGCCCGTAAGTTGTTAAAGCTGCGCCAGGGTCGCCGTAGTGTTGCTGATTACCTCATAGATTTTCGAACGGCCGCCGCGGAGACGGGGTGGCCAGATCACACGTTGCAGGGAATCTTTCTACAGTCCCTGAACGATAACATGAAAGATCAGCTTGCTTCACGGGATGAGCCCGCTACGTTTGAGGAGTTAGTCTCCCTTTCTCTCCGTATTGACATCAGGCTGAGAGAGAGGGAGAGTGAAAGGAACTACAAACCCCAACGTCCCCTCCTCCGCCCACTTCCGTGTTCGTTTGCGCCATCCCCACCCATAATGCAGTCGCCTGTGTCGGCCGCCTCTCCCTCCGTCGTAGACACGGCGCCGGAACCGATGCAGATCGGCCACGCTCAGCTGCCGTCGGAAGAGAGAGAGCGTCGCTTTCGTGCACGCGCGTGTTTTTATTGCAGGTCGCCAGAACATTTAATCGCTACATGTCCGAAGAGGGGAAAAGGGCCAGCCCGCCAGTAGATTCGGGGATACGGGTGGGCGGTTCTCATAGTGATGATAAACCCCGTTTGCTTCTCACAGTCAGTTTAGTCATCAACCGTGCCACGCACACCTTTCAGGCCCTGGTCGACTCCGGTTCAGAGCAAAACCTAATCAGTTTTGACCACGCCACACGGTTAGGAGCGCACCTTGTGCCTTTAGATCCGCCCATTTCTGCGAAAGCACTTAATAACCAGGTCTTTGCGCAAATAACTCACCACACTGAGCCAGTGACTGTAATCACTTCAGGAAATCATAGGGAGGAGCTCACTTTCTTCGCCCTCTCATCGCCTGACACTCCCCTCACATTCGGCTACCCTTGGTTAAAGCTACACAATCCACACTTGGATTGGTCTGGACGGAAGATAATAAGCTGGAGTGTATTCTGCCATGCTAATTGTTTGAGGTCGGCGTGTCCCCCGGGCCCCGAGGAGCCCTATGCGTTGGAAGAAACAACCCCCGATCTCACTGGTGTGCCCATGGAATATCACGATTTCAAAGAGATATTTAGTAAGAGTAAGGCACAAGCTTTGCCGCCTCACAGACAATATGACTGTGCCATAGACCTTCTCCCCGGTGCTCCTTTGCCCTCCAGTCGATTATACAACATATCTAAACCAGAACGTGTTGCTATGGAGAAGTACATCAGAGAGTCACTTGCTGCTGGAATAATTCGACCGTCGTCTTCACCTGTTGCTGCCGGATTCTTCTTTGTGGGTAAGAAGGACGGGTCGCTACGGCCATGTATTGATTTCCGTGGTCTCAACGACATAACTATAAAGAATAAATACCCATTGCCACTCATCAGTTCTGTGTCAGAGTCCCTGCAAGGCGCCACTATCTTCACTAAGCTGGATCTTCGTAATGCTTATCATTTGGTTCGCATTAGGCAGGGAGATGAGTGGAAGACGGCCTTTAACACGCCACTGGGCCACTTCGAGTACCTGGTCATGCCCTTTGGACTAACGAACGCCCCAGCCGTATTTCAAGCTTTAGTGAATGATGTTCTCAGGGACTTTCTGAACAGATTTGTGTTCGTATATCTGGATGACATACTCGTGTTTTCCAGATCGCTCCAGGAACATCACGCTCATGTCCGTGCTGTCATCCAGCGCTTATTGGAGAACAAACTGTACATAAAGGCAGAAAAGTGTGAGTTTCATGCATCGTCAGTCTCTTTTCTTGGTTATATCCTGGCAGGGGGGCAACTGAAGACAGATCCAGAACCTGATCCGGGCACCGGTCCAGCTAACAAGCGCTATGTACCCACAGCAGCCCGCTCCAAGGTTTTGGAATGGGTTCACACGGCCAAGTTCACAGGTCACCCGGGCCGAGGTAGGACAGCTATGCTACTGAAGAGACACTTTTGGTGGGAGACGTTGGATAGGGATGTACGTGAATACGTAGCTGCTTGCACGGTTTGTGCTCGTAATAAGTCCAGGAATCACCGTCCTTACGGACTGCTTCAACCACTAACCACCCCACACCGGCCATGGTCACATATTGCGTTGGATTTTGTAACAGGGCTTCCGGACTCTGCAGGAAAGACTACCATACTTACCATAGTTGACAGATTTTCCAAGGCAGCACATTTCATAGCTCTAGATAAACTGCCCACTGCTTCAGAAACAGCTAAACTGTTGGTTGAACATGTTTTCAGACTCCATGGGATCCCTATGGAAATAGTGTCTGACAGGGGTCCCCAGTTTGCTTCTCAGGCCTGGGGAGCCTTTTGTACGGCGCTGGGGGCCAAGCCCTGTTTGAGCTCAGGCTACCATCCACAGACCAATGGCCAAACTGAGCGCCTGAACCAAGAACTCGAGACCACTCTTCGCTGTGTCACTGCCCATAATCCAGCCTCTTGGTCCACATTCTTGCCGTGGGTTGAATATGCGCATAACACACCCACCGCCTCGGCCACAGGTCTTTCACCTTTTGAGGCGTCCTTAGGTTACCAGCCACCTCTGTTCCCCGAGCAAGAAGCTGAGCTTGCGGTGCCTTCTGTCCAGCATCATCTGCAGCGTTGCCGCCGGGCCTGGACGCGGACTCGTGAGGCGCTGTTGCGCGCTGTGTCTCGCCAATGCCACTACGCCAACCAGCGGCGCACGGCGGCTCCTACTTACTCTCCGGGGCAAAAAGTGTGGCTGGCGGCTAAGGATATCCCGCTCCAGGGAACCTCCCGCAAGCTGTCTCCGCGCTATATTGGGCCTTTCGTGATTGACAGGCTGATCGGCCCTGCGGCAGTCCGGCTCACATTGCCTGCATCGTTGCGGATCCATCCGGTGTTCCATGTTTCGCAGGTCAAGCCGGTTTTGTCTAGTCCTCTGTGCCCTCCTTCCGACCCCCCTCCTCCCGCCCGGCTCGTCGATGGTCATCCTGCCTTTTCGGTGCGGCGTATCCTGGACGTGTACAGTTACAAATTAAACTAAATGCCCCCTCTTTCACCCACTTTTGGGTCAGTAGAAAGAATGATAAATAAACAGTAGTGGTGGTAAATACCAATAAACAAAATTACTTCACTTGTTATTACTTCATGTCCGTTGTGCCTTAATGCAGCATATGTCCAGAGTAGTTGACGACCTTCTCTCTCCCTTTAACCACCACTGATGAGAATGAATGTCCTTTCCTTGTCAATTAGAATGAAATGTTCCATACCTTTTCTCATCAAACTCACATCAAACCATTAAGCCAGCTGCATGATGATTATAAAGTTTCTGTCTAGAAGACCCATAGAATGGC